ATCACTAACATAATGTACCTTCAATTAAGTAAACAGGGAAAGGGCAAATTTGATTAATTACATTTCATACTATAAGAGAAATGAAAAAAAAAATCACTAAATTCCTGTAGTACAACGATTTTCATTACCGATAAAACTGTGATGTTTCACATATAAAACTATAACTACCATTAATATTCTGAACCATCCTCTGTAGTAATGACTCTCTACAGGCGGCTGTGGCTTTTCTTTGAGAGTCAAAAGTGTGTTAGATGCTGATTATGTATTCCCATCAGACCACTTTGATGTTCATGCTGTGTTTTATCTTATTGTGAACATTTCTTTCTACCCTCTGTAGCCATCCCAATTAATTCTTTGACATCACTCTTATACTTCGAATACAGCTTTCATCTCAGACATTGGCCCAATCTTTTCCAGCCTGTGCTTCCAGCCTGTGTGTGTGCGTGTGTGTGTGTGTGTGTGTGTATGTGCGCGTGCGTGTATTCTCACGTCATAAAGGAGCGCAAGTGACAAGCAAGGCAATATTTCCAATGTGTGTAATCCTTTTGAAGATAACTCATGGCTGCTTTCAAGGTGTGACAAACCAGATTGTTTCCCTTTTGCATTTCCTGAGAAGAACTCAAAATGTATTTCAAGTGCCACCTACAGCATGTGTCTTTGACTCACTTTTATAGATTTCATTCGGTTGTGTGTGGCATAATTAGCATCAAGTCGTAATAAAATGACCTGACTGACTCAGTGGGTAACTCACACTATAGAAGGGGAAGTTTACAAGGCTGAAATTGAGGCCCATCACATGTAACACACAACATCACTGAAACAATAACGATTTACATTTAGCCATTTTTACCCCTATCGGAACTGATGGCAAATCAATCATCACAAAAGCATGTATGAAATAGGATAACTCAACAATAAAGAATTTCAAACTAATAAGTGGTAGTAGTAGTAGTAGTAGTAGTAGTGTGGCATTCACACACTCTTGTTATGTGGGTTTTATGCTCCTCGATCATTCAGGGAAAAAAATTCTGAAGATTGAGGTGCTAAATTCTTATGAACATGTTCAGAGCGTAAAGGTGGACGTTATCCTGGCTGTTTTGTTGAAGATATTGATGGGTTCAAGAAAGCTTATGGCTTCAGTGGAGATGGTTCGAGTTTAGCTGAATTTAGAAAAAATGAAAAGGACTAACAAGTGGAGGGACACCCATTTGCAGCTTATTTGGTGGGGTGGTGTTACAAATGGCTACATTTGCTTGATAAATCAACAAAGACCGCTATGAAAGAAAGCCTTGGGCCCCTTGAGAATGCATATTAAAGATGTGCAGTGGTGTCAGAACTACATCATCAACCACTCCATGCTGCTAATATGCAAACTGGAGAGGGTCAGTGTGCACGTGTTTTTCTCTCCTCCTTTGAAAGCCTTCTATTAGCAGAGATGTAAATGAAACAGGGCGGTAGTGTTATCACACGTGGGGTTGCTTTTAATTGGAACTGTATGTAAACTGAATATAAAAATATTTCATCTATTTTCAAAAGGACCATTAACAGCGAGTTTATTAGTCTTTAGCTGCAGTCATACGCTGAAGAGTATTTTTTGATTACAGTAGACATTTGCTCAAAACAATAATTTATTCTTTGTTCTTCTTTTTCTTTCATTTCAAACGCTGTGGATTTGTTTCAGACTGTTTTCCTTAACTGTTTATACCATTAAGGGCTGGTGGGAAATTTCCAATCTGGTTCAACCCTTATTAAATGATGGTTCAAGCAAGGTTAAAAGGCATCTAATTTTAGGCTGCCAGAAAAAGATGAGTCTTCAATAGTTTGACTTTCTAAGATCTCCTCTCTTATCGCCTTCATATTTCAATCATCATGAGGCACATTGAGCCTTTAGGGAGTCAAAAAAATGTAAGCCATAGCGTTTCATTTGAATGTAGGCTACAAGACCTATGTAAATGATAAATAACTAAGAAAATCAGATGTAGGCTACAAGCTTTTGTGGTGGTGTATGTGGTATATGTAGTGGGCTCAGGGGAGTGGTTGTGCTCATACAAATGAGTTTTCTAACAATATGACGCATTAAGGAGCACTAACTCAACTGTGTTACAAAAGCAATATCCCTCCTCCCTCCTTTATTCAAAAGTCAAGAAAATGCAGATGCCCTATCATGCATGACTACATTTCTTTTTAGACATGATGATTGCACCAGTGCTATGTTCAATGCAGTACTCAAAATGAAACCTCGTGAATGAAGGCTGTGTGATTATGAAGTTGACGTCATTAATTGACTTACCATAGTGGAGCCTCGTGCTGCTCCGTCCACACAGCTGTACAGTGCTACTGGAACCAGTCTGACTCTGACTCTGACTCTGACAGCGGAGGGACCATCTCTGGAAACTTCTTCACATCCTGAGTCAAACTGCAGTCAGCGGTGAAAAGGTTGAAAAGTCATTCTGGGATTTTAATGACGTTTTAATTGCACGCGAGGACACGGTTTCAAGTAAATCAGCACTTATTCTACAAGAGGTAAGCCAACTTTATTTGTCATTTATTCATGTCCATAACAACTGGCTCTTAATTCTTTTTGGAAGAAAGAGTTAGAAGCTTCTAACGACATTTAAATACAGGTTAACATTTAGCCTCTGATGATCTGTAGGAGGGCTTGTTCTTTCTAATCCTCAGTGGCATATTCAGTATTTGTTTGGGGATTTAATGCTAGTAGTTTTTGATATGGATACATACCATAGATCTGACATTTTATTGTTAGAATATATTAATAAATGTCAAATAAATATGTGCACAGAGACAAACATAACACAATCACAACAATAATAACAAATTGAAGTGATTCATTCATTTTAATTTTCTGTCATGTCAGTCTATATGGAGGGTGTTCAGGAGAAAATGACTTAGGGCTTACAGCCAACACACTGGTCTTCTTAATCTTCTTAGTTATGCCTTTTAGCTACTGTTTTTTGTTATGTTGAGACATTTATATTATTCCCTCCACTTTAGAGGCTTAAAATGCTTTTTGTTTGTTTTTTAAGAAAATGAAGTCATAATTGTATGAGTATAAAAAGCAGGGAGACACAGTTACTTTTAATTCTAGTTCCCGAGGCAGCTATTATCGACAGAAAAAGTTCACAGTGGACTATTTGTAAAATGTAAGGCAGTAAGTGCTTTGGTTTTACTGGCCACAATGTGACCCTGACCTCTGTGAACAAGATTTTAGAAGAGTACTGCTGCTCAGTTTTTACTGTATCCTACATCTTGATTAAGTTTCACATGTGTTCATTATGAGTTTTACATGCAGATATTTTCACACTTCATGATTTAGATTCGTACCATCTGGTTTAAAACTATCCTATATAAGATATGTCTATATTCCAGAGTTAGTTTCCCCATGCAGGACAAGCGTGCAGACAGACAATAAAGCTGCAACAGGTGAGTCAGAAAGTAGAAGAGACAGAAGTACGAATACACCCAAAGACGTTCTCTCACTATGACAACAAAAAGTGAATTGGGGAGAAAATAACATTCACATCTTCTGCCTCACATATAAGAGAATAGTTTTTTTAAATGAGTTTTAAGATAAGAGTTCCAAATTCAACAAACAAATATTATGTCTTTATGTTAAATTCAAATCCAGTGACGGTACAGCATGATTAAAGAAGAAAAGGTTCTGGACGGATCAATACAAGCGTTTTTCTTAAAGGGTGCAAATTATTAATCTAAAGTCAAACTCTTTGGAAAATTGGAACATGGGGATGCTTTACGTTTTTCTAGCCATCCATGAACATTTGACATGTTTAAGTCAAGTCATAAAAGTGTGTTAATAGGTAAGTTCAGCAAAACAGGCCTTTCAGACTTTCTCCTATATGCTTTTTGCAGCATGTTATTAAACTCAAAAGCCTACAATATGAACTCAGATTCCGATAAGACAAATATTAGTATGTCTTACTTTTTAAAATGCAAGTGGTGACTTCATATGATTAATCCATGCCATGTTACAGTGAACAGAATTTGCCGGTGTAACTGGTGTTTCCATAAATCCAGTCATGCTGCAAGGAAAGAGCACATTAGGATGTGAAGAGGTGTTTTCCTATAATTTAACCACTTGTGAACTGACCCTTATCCATTGATCTGCCTGTCAGTCACTATCTGTCTGAAGCTGCTGAAGTAGAACAAACAACCTGGGAATAAAGAGAGTGCTGAGGATGAGAACAAATGGGTAGCAACAGTGGTGTAGTGCAGGGTATACGCAGGTATACAGAGTATACCCACTTATTTTTCTGTCTCCATAGAGTATACCCACTTCTTGATTGACAATATTCAGTAGTATGCTGCAGTTTTTTCCTAGGATGGTGAAGAGATGACTTTCCCAATTATGTCTCTAATTGGCTACACACTTACTATGCAAGTGTAGTCACTGTTTATAACAGAGGACATTTATACTCTACTGGACGGGCTACTTGTAAAAAAAAAAAAAAAAACATGGGGGGGAAATTAAGAGTATACCCACTTCTTTAGGCAGCACTACAACACTGGGTAGACACATTCAAACAAATGAAACATGGCTGTGTTTGGTTCAAGCTTATTAGAGTTTTCAGAGCGCTTCCACACAGGTATCTTCCTTTCCCATATGTAACTAAAGGGTCACAGTGAAAGAGAAGAATTACTCATATGGGTTCAGCTTTATTTTTCTCACAGTAATTGGTTTCTGGAACATCCTGACTAAACCTTTTGACCAACAGTGCTGCAGAGCGTCAACAGGAATAAACATCAAACAAGAGCTTAAAAGAGCTTTCAGCACATGAATGAAGTAGTAATTATCGACACCTCAACAACATATAAAAAAAAATGCACAGGTTGCTGATAGCAGTGTGAAAATGAGTTATATAGTGATCTGCTGTTTTGTGACCAACAACTTGCACTGCCATGTATTGCTGACAGTCTTTGAATACACAGGTTGAAAGGTCAAACATTTTCGGTTCATTTTTCAGATGGCGTTATTAGAAGACCTTGCATTTCACTCCAACATACCTGTACCTTTGGATATAACTGTAGCAGTGGTCTACTCCATTTTTGGTGAGTTAAACGTCTTTAATATTCCGTTAATAGATACATAAAAGAGTTTAAAAAAAACAATGCTGTCGATAATGAGTTTTCTACTCTCCCTGTTCAGGCTGAAATGAGTAACAGCATGAAGCAAGACAGCACAATGGGAAGCCTTGGGAGCAAGTTTACGTTGTATTTTCTTTTTTTCTGAGTGCGTTTATGTATTGCTTTCAAATAGGCCAATATTTTCTGTTTATGTATAATTCCATATCTGCATAAGCCTGCCTATTAGCGATGCACACAGCGATGTACAGACCCAGTGAAGGTACAATGTTGAAGCTGCTCATGCAACAACAAGGGGCATCTGTTAGTAAAATCTTAAACTTTGCCATGTACCGGAAAAAGATTCATGCCCAGATTAACTTGATCTGAGTCTTTGATCTCGGCCCATTCACTGCTGGTTCTGTAAATTGAATGTAGTCACAGGCAGGCACACAATGTAAAGGCAACCAGACACATACAGTTTCAATGGGTGATTTTAATGTGACACAACACAGACCTATTTACACAGCACTTCATGAAGAAAAACAGTGAAACATCAAACAATTGTTAGCAATTTTGCTCTTTTTTTTTGCTGTCTTGCATAGTATGATATGAAGATTGTTTATCTCCTTTAAATGCAAAGGCTTTAACTTGTTTAGCTTAGCTTAGCAAAACACCTGGAGGCTGGGGGAAAAAAAACAGAAGCCTGACTCTAGTTTAAAGAGCAAAGTTGAATTTGATCTACTTACCAATACCTGTAAATCTCTCAATTCAATGTGTGGAACCTCATTTTGATCATCTTTCCAAAAACGCAATGGAAAAATGTAATGATAAATACACTTGAAGTTTCTAATCCTGTCATTTTCTGCAGTAAGCAACTAAGTGAATTGAATGCTGGAAAGTACAGAATGATTCTGACAAGTATAGATAACTAAATTCATCCCAAAGGAGAATTCCGTTTTTTTGCAGTCTACCCAATCCAGACACAGATTTACAAACAAACAGCAGACTGAAGTAAGACAGTGACAATAAATGAATAAATCAGTGTACTGACAGAGATGTTCAGTGGCACGCTGGTTACCCTAGATCATGAACTTCTGCTTCTGGTGCATTCAACACTCTGGGGTTTTGGTCTGTATTTCCTGCAGGAGTGTGTTCACTGTTTGGAAACAGCACGCTACTGTATGTCTCCTACAAGAAAAAGCACCTCCTGAAGCCTGCGGAGTACTTCATCATCAACCTCGCTGTCAGTGACTTGGGTCTGACAATATCCTTATACCCCATGGCGATAACTTCAAGCTTCTACCACAGGTACTACACTCTGCACCTAAAGAAGCAAACAAAGACACAATGGTAGTATTTTTACCAACAGCAAATGGAAGACTCTGTTGTTTGTAAGATATTGCTTTTAAATCTCCCTTTTGTGTTCCATTTAACAATATGGTTTGTTAGTAGTATGTTTGCTTGTGAATTCATAGAGGCGGAGTGTCACGCTCATGATATTCTTCTCTCCCCCCCCTCTTACCCTCTCCTATATTGATCTTTCCTCTGTCTCTGCTTTGCACTGTCCTCTTTCACTTTCTCACACCCCCTTGCCCTCCTACGCAGGTGGCTGTATGGGAAAACAATGTGCTCCATATACGCTTTTTGCGGCATGTTGTTTGGCATCTGCAGTCTGACCACTCTAACCCTACTGAGCATGGTGTGCTTTGTGAAAGTATGTTATCCGCTCTATGGTAAGTCTTCAAAGAAGCTTGTTTTGTCTGCCCATTGAAATGACAAAAGGATTAACTGTCACATCCCTAAGTGGCTGATTGTTGATTTATCTGTGGAAGGATACGAAGTGATAATCCCTCCCTAGCGCTGCACATTAGTCTTTCTTTGATGACTGACAAGTCAGAGGGCTGCACTCGATATGCATTACTTGTGATGTTAGTTAATGCAGTCAAACTGGGCTCTGTGTTTGAACTCCGTATTTTGAAAAGTTTTTCAACAGATCTCTCATTTAAAAATCACAAAATTATGATTTAGAAAAAGAAAGAAAGAAATTATCGAAGAGTTTCTTCAAAATATGGAACTACAAAAAGATAGTTTTCTTTAAGTGTATTTATTTTAATGTTTAATTTTGCTATCAAACCCCCAGCACTTTTGCAAAAGTAGCCTACTTGAAGTTCAATCTTACTGTCAGCCACGATGTCTCAAGTGTATTCGAGGATGATGTAACATGACTCGCCCATCAATGCCCTCTTCTTCCTTCAAAGGACTTATCTTTCACCTAATTAACCGTCAGTTGCCAACTACTCTTGTGCTACCTAAGCTAACTTGAAATCAATCTATCCAGCTAACGATCAATCTTATGTTCTTTAAGCACTCCAGCTAAATAAATACAACTGTCAAGCTGTCTTACAATGAAGGACGTCTCTGCATCTGCAAAACAAAACTCAATGTGCTTTGCTTGCTCTTACTAGCATTGGCCCACAGTGAAAACAAATCTGGAGACCATTGTGTCTAGCTTATATAAATAACCTCCTTTGTGGGTGATTGTGTCAAAGTGGTTCATGGCTGAGTTAGTTGAATCCATATTCCTGCAGGATACCAAATCAAGGATCATCATTCCTGCAGTCTGAATAATTGAAGCAGCACAGAGGCTGCATGCTGCCCATGAAGCCATGATTGCATCCTCCTACACATAAAAAATGTCAATGAATACGGACAACACATCCCACCATCTGAAGCCTATTACTAACCTATTGACACAGCTTATAGTGAGCCTTTTTAGTAAGAGTTCTTATTGTATGTATTTTCAAGGACATGACACTGAATGCAGTCTTAAACATTCCAATGCTGCAACACTTTCATTGATTTCTTGAGTTACATCATGTGCTTTGGGGAATGAAAAATACAACTTGGTTGTCCTAGCTATCAAGGAGGTTGGTGTCTGTTATGCAACTCGCACAAACACAGATCGTGTTGACTGAGTTGTTTCCAATTCAATCCCATTTTAAGGCCTCTATCTAGCCTAAATGTATCAGATTTATGATGGAATATTTTTGTACCACAGGAGAGAAATGTTTGTTTGCCTGGATTCACCTGCACTTCGGATGCCTTCTTCTGGCTCTGACCAAAGTAAAGACAAAACAATCTTTGACCCCTGTGCTTGTTTCATTTATGCAGTTTGCAACAGGTTGAAAAAGACAGCCAGCCCATAGCAAACGTTAAAGCAACAACCACCAAAGCTCTTTTTCCAAAATTCTTCATTCAAGTACTTCAGTATCTTTGCATCAGTACAACACCATGACTGCCTTCGACAAAAGACTGTCCAAATATCTACAACATTATCCTCACTAGACCAAATTTGCTCATTGCTCTCTGAAAACAGAAGAGCTGCCTTTTGGTGTGCAAAGCAATACACACTCAGCGATACAGACCTTTACTTCAGATCCAATAAGACAACACCATGAACTACTTTGATGTGGCAGACCCTGGGCTGACATGAGTGCTTCCAGGAAAAGTGTAAGAGGGGAATCTATGGTGTTCTCCAGGAGCAGACATGCTGCAAAGGCCCCAGGGAAATTCAATATGGCAGGTGGTTCTAGTTTCACTTAGTGCCGCTTAAAGGCCTGGAGCACTTAATGATGAATTTTTTTTCTATTTCTTTTTCTTTTCTGTTATTTTGTTGTAGACTTATCATTGTTAATGGATTTGCAGATTGTTTGCTTTTAAGTATTTTTATTGTATTTTGACTTTTAAGCACATTTTTCATTTGACAGTGTCTTGTGTGCATATTTGTTTAGGAATTTCATTTGCAATTTTGTAATGTCGTTTGGGCCGTTACTTACTCTTTTTGCCCTTTCCAGCTACTGTACATATCACATAATGAGACCAAAACCTAAAGATTCCATAATTTAACTACTTTTCAATACACAATTTGCAACCAGTGAGTATGAATTGAACCTTTAAATGACTTAAACAATTGAAAATAGATTTAATCTGTCTTCACAGGGAACAGGTTTAACTCTGTTCACGGCTGTTTGCTCATTGCCTGTGCTTGGCTCTATGCCCTGCTGTTTGCCTGCTCCCCGCTGGTCCACTGGGGGAAATATGGACCAGAGCCCTATGGCACCGCCTGTTGCATTGACTGGCACCTGTCCAATCAGCACTCCACAGCACGCTCATTCACCGTGGCGCTGTTCATCTTCTGCTACATCCTACCATGCTGTGTTATTGTAGCATCCTACACAGGTATCTTGGTCACAGTGCAATCATCCCGTAAGAATATGGAGCAGCATGCCTTGAGGAAGACTCATATGAGTAGCAGCCAGACGATTATTGTTAAGGTAAGAGAAAAGTCTGACAAAACACAAATTATAACCTGCATCATGCAAAAGATACCATTTGGATCTGGCTTCTTTTGAGTAATTATTTTGAAATTACATGTTTTATAAATTAGCATTAGAGGCACCATTGGTTATGACAGTGATGAAAGAAGCTTGTGAGCTGTCCTTTACTTTTTGCTTTTTACATTTACAATCTAATCTTCATCTCCAGAGCATCTCTATTAAATAACCAAACCTCAAAAGGTTATAATGCGTATCAATTAAAACCAAGCTGGCACACCATAGTTTTAAAGATGTAGTAACAAATTGACGATGATATGGCCAGAGAATGGGGGCTGTGGTTCAGAGCCAGATTATCAAAGCGCCTCCTTCGAGACCAGAATCCTCCAGAGGGCTCCTCTCTCATCAATTTTGCTGTAGACATTGAAACTGACCTCAATAGATCCTCTAGTGATGCAGCTTCTCATTAAGCGGGAAATGGCTCTGGCTGTAGTGATGGATGAGAAGAGCTTACCTTTGCTGATAAATGGTCATCATCATCATCATCATCATCATCATCATCATCATAACCCTTTACAAAAACTGATTTATACAAACTACTCTAAGGGCTGAAAAAAAGGTGTTACCTCATACATCATATGACTGATGTTAGTGTTGGTCAATTAAGTTTTCAGGTTGTAAAGATGCATTTTTGTGCTTTTAAGGAATAAGCCTGGCGATATACCTTTTCTTCTTATCACCCGATAACAAAAGAAAGAAATCAACACTGGATTGATCCTTCTAACAATTATCTTTGAACAGCAAACCTGACTTGGTTTATACCGAACCCCATATGTCATGGCACTCAATTTTTTTGTGCACAAAGTATAAAAAACAAAAACAATATTAAGCTGCACTACTGCATTCAGATTTTTAATATCGATCTCAAAATACTCTACTTACTTTGCTCTAAACTGTACAAACAACTACACTGCTCTTAAATTTAAGGAAAATGCCTTTCTTTGACATTGAAAATTGAATTTATCATCTGTTCTTTAGGATTTGTATTTTCAATAGAAACCAGGGAGCTCGGTCAAGATGGGTAGAGTATTGAGAAATTCACTAACATGGTGTTGGGGTCTACAGGGGTACAATAAGAAAAATATACACTTAGCTGATCAGATTTACAAAATAATGTATTTTTTATCATGATATGAATGATCAAACAATATTGCTTTTTCACTTTTTTTTCTCTTTTTCCTGTTAGCTAAGTGTTGCAGTCTGCATCGGTTTCTTTGCGGCGTGGAGTCCATATGCTGTGGTGTCCATGTGGGCTGCCTTTGGACACATTGAGAACATCCCTCCTGTGGCTTTTGCCATGCCAGCCATGTTTGCAAAGTCTTCCACGATTTATAACCCCATTATCTACCTGATGCTGAGGCCAAACTTCAGAAGGGTCATGTGCACAGACCTGTGCACTCTTTGCCACAGCTGTGTGACGGGCTGCCTCTGCTCTGAGGGGCTGTCTAAGTGCTGCTCCAAGTCAGAGATCAGGGTCAGACTTCGCACAGTCCACAAACAGACCAACAGATTCCCTTCCTCAAACTCCTCTGCTCAACCTCCCATAGCAAGTCTGAAGGGCCGCAACTGTGAGAAGTGCAAGGACGCTTTTGAATGCTTCAGACACTACCCTAAAATTTGTGGCGTTACAAACCCGGCAGCCAACGGAGTCTCGTGTATGGATCATGACAGCCCAGTTCACCAAACACAAAAGCAGAAGACGCAAAGTGTGTGCCACAAGAAGTCTCTGCTGGCCAGCATGTGTCCAAAAAGAACTACAGAGATAGACAACTTCCACATTACTTTAGAGATGGTGCCAGGGCATGCAAAAGTGGCTTGGCCTTGATTTTCTCTCTTAAGCCTTGCTCACACTTTCACAATATTCCTGAAAAGTTTTCAGGGTGAGCTTCATGTATGTACAGTACACAAACAGCAACAATTTACACTTCATCTGGAGTTTCTCCTGCCAGACCTCTAGTGTTTTTCCCACATGAAGTCTGTGAGCTGATGTGAGAATGCACAAGGATATAATCAGGAGAATTAATCGCGAGTTAAAGGGAGTGATTTTGTTTATTCCCTGCGATCAGAGGAACACCATAGACTGTATGCAAGTGACCGTTGCGATCTCAATGCACCTAATTACACTGCTGCATCATGTTTTCTGTTCATCTCCACTCTTTTGTTGTTATTGTGATTCTGTCCAGCTATACATAGCATCGATATTAGGCCAATATTAGTATTACTGTCGTATAGCTGACTGTGGCTTCGTCTGCCTCATTCCTTTAACACAATACCTTGCCTCAGGGATATTCTTCCACTGTGAGGTGCAACTGTGGACGCCCAGATCAGATGGATTTCAGGGGCAGTCTGCCTGAAATTCTCTAGAAATGTTAAGCAGTGCACATGTGAAAATGGCTTTATAGTGCTTTCCCACTTGAAACAGAACTACTGAAAACATATTGAAATGTTCAGGGTGAGCTGCACGTGTGAACGCTAACAGTCACATTTTTCACTTAGGGCGCACGCAAAGTTGTGCAGTACCGTGCTTAAGCACCAATCCCCCCCACCTCCCCATTCACCCTGAATGGCCTGCTACCGGGCCTAAGCAGGGTTACCTCTTGTGCATAATGTCGTAATACAACACATGCATAGCTTTATGTTACTATGAAGCATGCTCAGTTTACAAACAAGAGGACTCGAGAATTTAAAAAAAGAAAGAAAAAAAGAGGGACGCGCAGTTGAGTCTGTGCTTCACTTTTGCTGATGTGACAGTAGAGCTTCAAGTTAAACATCACTTCTTGCTTCCCGAGACGCTTTCTCCTTCAGTCAGGGATGGAGAAAATCTCCTACTTTGAGAGACGTGTGGGAGAACAACTTTGGAAAATGTCAGAGTCAGGCTGTCCAGAAATTTTGAGGAGTGGATATTTGAAAAAATGTTTAGGGCCATCCTTCATCACAAGCTGTTAACCCTTTCTTTACCATGTCAACCTGAGTATTGTTTACTCGCTACAGGAATATATTTCATGGTGCTACATAAATAATCTATGTACACAACAGCACAATCTTTTTTGTAATGTACAGTGTAATATAATGATTAATATACATTAAAAACAGAATATTTCTTTACTTGACATGTTCAACTTCAAAAGGGAAAGGGGAGAAAATATACTGTATAACGCAGTGGAATAACACAGGTGAAATAAATTGACACGTGTAGGAAGGCTGTGTAATGTTTGTTTCGTCTCTAACTGTTGTTCTGTTTATCTGTTGTGTGAAGTAAACATGACTTGAATGGACTTTGAGCAATCACTCAGGACCAAATTTTTCTTTGAAAAACTCAAGCTGTTAAGTTTTCAGATTTATCACCACAAAGACATGTTATCCTCGTATCAGCTTGTCTCATAGGGTCACTTTGTATTCTCTTTAAAACTTTGCTTTTCATGCTATTGTTCTTATTATGCAAGGCATACTGCTGTTGCTCAACAAAAAGTAATTATGAGATCTTATCTATTAATCATCAGGGCGCCTTTTTATCATTATCTGATGATAATGGCTGTCGTTAATTTTGTTTCAAAACTAGAAAGCCTGTCCACATTTGTTTTGAAGGATCTTATCATTCATCGTTAACAGCATGGAGGGATTACATTTCATTGGTTGGTTTAAAGAATTATCAAACTCACCAAGTTAAATACCACAACATTAACCGTTTGATTTGCACTTCATCATCACATCTGTAATCCATAGAAATGTTGATTTAATTCAAAACGTCCTTTTCAATTTCAACATTAAAGAAGAAAAAGTGTCTGCCTGTGTGGTGTACTCAGAAACAGCTGTCTAAATGTTCTCCTCCTTTCAGTATGCTCGTAATGAATGAACGCTGTGGGACAAAATCAGAAAAAAAAAATCAGCTGAACTAGAAACAATTACAGCTCCAGTTGTGTGGTGCAATCTATTCAGAGCATGAAATACACATTTACTGCTAAGTTCTTAAAACATATGTACAAACAGTTTATTTGGAAATGTAGAGTGAAAAACAGGCGACCAAGATTTCTGTGATGCTTCATGTCAGTTTAAAAAAAAACATGAACACAAGTCAAAGACGAGATCATCTTTGGTGAGACAAAAGTAGCCTGTAATTCAAAACTGTACACTTGATAAAGTACAGTGCCTCATTTCATCAGTTTGAAGACAATCACATTATATTACTTATAAGTCATTCATGCATTTTAAAAAAAATCTTGAGAAACAGGAGTTCAACACTTAAAAGCCCAATTTCCACCAAGCAGTCCAGTGTTGTTCAGTTCGGTTCAGTATATCCTGATCTTGCTCGGGTTTCCACAGCCAACTCTACCCTTATTTGGTGAGCGGAGTGTAAGCCAGATGGAGATAGCTGAGTCACCTATGTAATAGTGTGACATCATAGCAGCCCAACACAGTGTAGTCCGCTATTCATTAAGTTTAATGAAAAAGAAGAACGGGCCACAGTAAACTAAAGGGACCCTTTAGGGTCGGATCGGTACCCTTGGCACCCCAACAGAAAGGTACCAACAAAGTAGGACTGTACAGATCCCTTATTTTGGTACCATTCTTAACTTTTGGTGCCAATTAATGGGTACCAAACCGGACTGGACCGCTTGGTATGTCTTATCTACTAACCCCTACTGGACACACAGCTCTCATATAGTAAGACCCTCCCAACCCCCCAACCCCACGCCCCACTCCCCATCCCCAGTGTTTACGATTACAGCTTCTTAGAGTATCAGTGTCATCGCCTCTTTTGGGTTCAGACTCCTTTTGATTCTGATTATCACTCACACTTTGTCCCTGAATATGACTCCATCATTCTGTGTTAAAAGCTACAAGCTGTTAAAAGCTGTTTGATATTAAAAAGATCATAATTTTTTATAATACGAGCTTATGACACACAAACTGGCTGAATCCGCGGTAAATTAGAGAATAAACGATGATTAGAAAAACCTTTACCCTAACTGTAAAATATATATTTCAAAAAACAAGTGTGGTAGAAAAGAAATTCAGTCTTGTGAAAATGCAATCAGAGTACTTTACTAAAAGTCAGTAATGACAAAGCAATGATTTTATCGAAGCAGGAAACAAAGTGTCCAGCTTTTAAAGACAGTTTACAACGTATTCAATCGTTTTTTTAATTAAAATAATTGTTTACAGCAATCTTTGTGGCTGACACGATTCCCCTCGAGTGACTTTCTACAAAGATGCTTGGTTGAGCTGTGGAGTTTTCCGTGAGTATCGTTCAGACACTGACTGGAGCCTTAGTGATAGGATTTTAAGATAGATATGGATTTTAGAGATATGATATTCACCAATTATCAACATAGTGACTGATAGAGAGTTTTATAACAGTAATGATTAAAATAATGGACTTTTTTTATGTTGATTCTAAGAAGGCTGCTTTCTACAACAAACTACCAACCAGGCCATCTTTGTGTGGACTACTGATGTGACGCTTCTCTACATGATGTGCAGACCATGCTGAGAGTATTCGAGGAAACTTCTTTGCTGAACCGACGACATGATGACATTTTAAAAAAAAATCATAATCACAAGCTTTCAGAATGACCTATTATGAAAAATAGTTGTCATCACTGCATATATCTGTAAACCGATTAAACATACTGACTGATATGTGTAGGCCAATATTGGCTGATAATACATTGGTGAGGCTCCAGCTTTTCAAACACATTAAACATTCTTTGCTGTGTACTTTTTTTCTATGATGCCAATATTTGAATCCCAAGGCCAACAAAAACCAAAATAACGTTCGCCGTTTAGTTTTACGCTGAACCGAAATATCAACCATGTGCAGGAAGTCAGAATTTTAGAGGGAAAAAGAGAGATCTGCCAAAGTTTATGAAATTCAGGGCGAAGGACCGCACAGGTCCAATATCTTCTGGATGACGTCTACCTCTATGTTGCTCTTCACAGCTCGACAAAGCTTCCCAATTGTGCAGCCGATACTTCCCTCCTTCATTTTCCAACGATCCAGCATCTGGTGCACCATCTCCGGCAGGCCGTCACGGAAACAGTCGTGCTCAATGGTCTCTATTTCCACCGTTGTCAGACCCAGCCGCCGCCCACAGCGCTTCCACTTGTTCCCGATGTTTTCCCTCAGCAGATCTAGGTGCTCCTCGGTCACAGCATGGTCCTCTGAATGGTGCAAGAGACACATCTATAAGGGCTACTACTAATGAGATATTGTTTAACTCAGATTGGACTAGTAGGGACTGTTGCTTTGAACTTTTGAACTCTCAAAATCTGTTGCAATATTTATACGAGCTCTCAAAAATGACTGCACTATACTGACCTTTCAACATTTTATATGATGTAAATTAAACCTTTTCTTGTAACAACTAGGGTCAAAAATAGTGACAGAAATGAAACGATCTCCAAAATCCACATGTCTTATGTCTTACATGTAAAATAAACATAAACATGTAGAATAAACCTGGCTGTCTTTAAATTTCTGATTGTTTGGCAGAAAGATTTTACCAAATGAACCTGGAAGGTAACGATGAGCATTTTTGAGCATCTCAAGTGCACAGACAAACTATCACATAAACTACAAACTACAGGAGGTTATTTACCATATTTCAGAATGCCTTCATTGATTCGCCAGAGAGCTGAGCCGTAAGAAGTCTGAGACGACAAACTACTTGTGGAGTCGAAACGTCTGATGCTCATTGTGTTGTTGCTCCCAATCTGGATCCCACTGGCATTTTGAATGAAAAGAGATCCTGGACAAAGCACAGAGCATTTTAGTCAGAGTTAGTAACATATTGGGCATTTAGCATTGCTTTCAGAAAAAAAATA